CCAGGGTGCCACGTGGGAGCCCGGGCTCTGTGGGAAGGTACGTGGAGGCAGCCAGCAGGCTCTCAGCACTAACCTTGCCTGCTCGGCATTTCCATGTTAACGTAGGGCAGAGCCAAAGGGGCAGCAAGTACAGTGGTCAGAGAGTGGAGTCTGAAGCTCTGCTACCCAGGTATGGACCCCTGCTCTGCTCTCTACTAGCTCCTGACCTGCCGCATGCTGGATCCGTCCCCTGATTGTAATAGTACCCAGCAGGGTACTGCACTGTGCATGTAAAAGCGTCGCCCAGATTCTGGCCTCCACGTGCTGAACACGCGTTAGCTCTTATTACTATGGAGACGGCAGATGCTTGGACAGGGAGTGATTTGCTAAACCTAACCCGAAATGGAAGTGGCTCCCTCCCGGCACAGGGAGACAGCCATTCATCTAAGAGATGTGGGTACAGATGGTCACTGCACGGGAATGTTGTAGGGAGGGCTCAGGTGCCAGATGAGACAGCGAGGAAGCACGAGATGATCTTGAATTAAACGTCGACCCGGGAGAAGCTGCATCTGTATCTGAGTTAGAGGAGTCAAAGGGGAGCCCCCCAGCAGGAGCTCCCGACCTCACGGAGGAGGGCTCAGCACCATCCCCGGGGGTGGAGGGAGGACATGCCTCATGGCTGCATGAGCTCAGCAAGCCCGTTTGTACTTGGCGCACGTCGGGAACAAAGGAGCTCGGTGTGAGATGAGGGGGACGATGGGACAGTGCAGTCTCTCTCTCTCTCTCTCTCTTGGACTCTGCAGGCCTTGCGGTGAACCGCCCACCTCGTCCCCCATCCAGTTGGGAGTTGTTTGCTTTGCATCTGTCCAGACAATCCCCCCACACACACCTTCCAAAGCCTTTAGGGTGCTGGCTGATGAGCACGTGCTTCGTATGAGTGGGAGGGAGGGCGGTGGGAACCCAGGAGGGAGCTGAGTCCTGTATTTAAGTTGATACGATGAAGATCCAGGGAATCATCTGTGGGTAGGAAGACGCTCCATGTGCTAATCCATTTGTGGCGGGGACAACCAGGAGCCAGGGGCCACTGGGAACCTGAAGCTCTCCTCCTGGCCCCCCGGAGAATCTGTCGAAACTGGAGAGGTCTGTGGGTGTCCACAGGGCATTGGGTGGAAGAACAGAGAGACCCTGTGTCTGGGGACACTGGGCTTTCTGGCCTCTGAAGCTTTCTGGTCTCCGGACCTTTTTACAACCTTAAACTATAGTAAGAACTCCAGAGACATTGGGTTTATACGGGTTATAGCCCACATTTATTATTTTAGAAATGAAAACTAAGAATGTTTCACGTAAAGGCATTGATTTTAAAATAACAAGCTCATCACAAAATAGCATAAAATAGCAAGCTCATCACAAGCTCAACATATTTTGGTGAGAAATCGTTAGACGTTCCCCCAAAAATTGATTGAGAAAAGTGGCACTGTTCTCTGATTTTCCAAACCTCCTGCGTAGCCGGCTTCCCGGAAGACAGCCGGAGTCTGACGTCTGCTTCTGCACTCGGTCTGTTGAGTGAGCCCTTGTCACGCAAGGTCCGAAACGTGCTGCGTAGATAAGTGGAGGCGGCTGGCATCTCAGCAACGTGGCTTTGACCTCGCAAGGCCCCTTCAAGGACTGCAGCCTGGGCTGGATGGGTCGCCGTGGCTTTCTGACCTGATTTGCTCTTCCTGCTGTCCCTCCATGTCAAAGGACAGTGGCCGTACCTCGTTCAGACAGTGTCTTTGCAAATATGTCATGGGATTCAACCCCCCGCCAAATGCACGACCAATCCGAAGGACGCCGGACCACCCTGCGCACCAGCCTGTGCTGCCCGTGCGCGATGTTTTGAAATGAGGAGGAAGTTTGTCGATTTGGAGAAAGGAGGACACCTTTCAATAAGTCACGAGAATGACGATTTTATGAATATTTTTGTCGCTTATGTTGATTTTGCATAGAGTAAGTAGTTCATAGTGAGGAAGAAAGACCTTAATAATGGTGGGGTGCCCTGGCCAGTTTGGCTCAGCGGTTAGAGCGTCGGCCCGCGGACCAGAGAGACCCGGGTTCGGTTCCCGCTAAGGGCATGTACCTCGGTTGCAGTTTGTCCCCGGCCCCTGTTGAGGTCGTGGGGGTAGCAGCGACATGTCTCTCTCACATCGATGTTTCTCTCTCTCTCTCTTCCTCCCTCTTTCCTTCTCGCTCTATCTGAAGATGAATGCAAAAACGTCCTCGGGTGAGGATTAAAAAAATAAGTAAAATAATGGTGGGGAGGGGGCAGAAGGGAGGGGGCGAGAAGGTGGGAAGCTCGAGGGCAGGCAGCGACTCAGTCGTCTCCGCCCCTCCTCACCCCTTGCCTCTGACCTCCACCAGGTGGTCTGAGCCCCAGGAGAGGCACGTGGGAGCGAGGCCCGGGTACACCTCGCCAGGGGTACGTCACGGGAGGAACAGAAAAACGGTGCCAGCTCGAGGCACTCATTAGCGGGGTGATTTATTAAGAACGAATGAGTGCTCTCTGCTCCCAGGCAGCCGTTATTCCCCAAAACATTTTCCCTCCGTGTGTCTCTCCGTCGTGCTTAAATGCCGGTTGTTTCACGCTCGTCCGGCTCACGGTTTCCCTGAGCAGCAGGCAGGCTCGGATTGAACAGGAGGAGGCCGACCTCTGTGGACAGGAGCACATTGACTCGAGTGAATGAAGGTTATGGTCGATGGCGCCAGGGGCAGTGGGGCCTGGGCATCCCGGCACTGAGCTCTGGAGGGACGTGGCTTCTCCACCTGCAGGGGCTGCTTCAATAAGCTGAGTTCCTGTGTATTTTAGCCCAAACGCTGGTGCGCGGAACCCACGTGCAGAGGAGCCCCTGTTTGTGAGACTCATGGTGGGGACTTGCTTTTACTCTTTCACTTGTTAAAATTACACTTTAGTTTTCAAGATGATTGTGGAGTCGCACGCCTTTCTAAGACATAATGCTCAGAGATCCTAGGTACCCGTTACCTCATTTCCCCACGGGGACATCCTGCAGACAGATAACACAGTATCACAGCTGGGACTTTATTAAAAGACTGGGAGGGCCCTGGCTGGTTTGGCTCAGCGGTTAGAGCGTCGGCCTGCGGTCCAGAGAGACCCAGGTTCGGTTCCCGCTAAGGGCACGTACCTCAGTTGTGGTTTGTCCCCGGCCCTGGTTGGTTGTATGGGTGGCAGCCACTCGATGTGTCCCTTCATGTCGATGTTTCTCTCTCTCTCTCTCTCTCTATTCCTCTCTCTCTCCCTCCCACTCTATCTGAACAAAAAATGGAAAAATATCCTTGGGTGAGGATTAAAAACAAATCCTGGGAGGAGGAGCCTCCGACTGCCCTGACCCCAGAAGGAAGACGCCCCGGGGTGGTGCGCTGCTTCCCCTTGGGAGGGGCGTCCGCAGATAGGAGCCTGGAGGGCGGGCGGAGAGGCGTCAGGCTCCCTGGGGGGAAGAGACGGGTGCCGGTACAGATTCTAGATGCCCGCCTCTCAGACCCCGACCTGCACGTGGGCCCCCTGGGCTCCAGGGTCGCAGCACTGCCCCTCACCTGGGCCCTGGGGTTGGGTGCAGCATCCGAAGCCTGCAGCTGAGTCTGCTCGAGTTCTGCGTTCGAGAGGCCGGGCACCGGACCAGGGAGCTCAGGGCCTGATTCCCAGCTCCTCACTTGCCACATGACAATGACCTCTTAGAGCCTTCGTGTTTCATAATACTTTACAGAGCACTTACCATGGATCAGGCACTGTTCTAGGAACACTGTATAATTCCTCATTTAATCCCAACCGCCCTAAAAGGGAGGTATCATTAGTTCCCATTTTGCAAATGAGGGCATCGAGGTACAAAGAAGCAAAGTTACTTGCCCAAAGTCACCCAGCTGGCAAATGGCAGGGTTGGGTATTTGAACTCAGGTGTCCACATCGCAAGTCTATATACGAACCACTGTCCTGTATTTCTCCTCCTCTGTGACGGATCCAGTAGCCACACTGAATTCTTACAAGGCAGAGTGCCTGGCCTGTAAGAAACAAGCACCTAAAATGCCAGTCTACATGACTGCTGGTACACTTTCTTCTGGAAGGTCCTGCGCATTCATTGCTCCCTGCTGTCAGCAATAGCCTCCTTCCTGGCCACCTCCTAAGTGCCAGGCCCTTATTCAGCCCTCTGGGTTACCCCGAGGGAGGGGTCTGTCTGTTACAGACAGCTGAGCTTCAGAGACATGAAGCCTGGGGCTGCATCGGAACCACAGCTCAGGAGGAAGTCCAGGGACACCAGCGTGACCTTGCACTCAGCTCAGGACTTGCCCTGCCCCGGATCACGTACCCCTTCCGAACGGCTCGGGGACAGGCCATAGTTCCCACATCAGAACCCTTAAAGCCCCCTGCTCTGACCCCACTTGATGCCACCACACCACAGCCCCTTCGGGGGTTCTGACTAGATAAGACCGGGGGGCCTGAGAACGTGCATTTCTCACAGTCTCCGCAGACTGCTGACGAGTGTCCAGGGGCGGCGCTCTGAGGACACGGCTCTCGGAGATCCTCTTGGAGCAGTAACGGTACAGACCACGCCTTCCTCCAGTGTGGCCCTTTTCAGCCGCGGGGGGTCCGCAGCAGGCCAGGGCCCCAGCATGGCCCCGCAGTGTCCATCCACACCTGGGCAGTGACCTGTCCTCCGCACAGGGTTCTTCAGCTTGCCTGTTCTCGAAAGCCCCCCACTTCCACGTGCTTGGTGACGGGCCCACCCTTTCAGACTGCCCCAAATGACATCTACTGTCGCTTTTCTGACTAAAAACAAACACAACAAAACCAACCCTTCTTCTTGTTGAAAATTTAGAAAAGTATCTAAAGAACACTTTAGATAAGGAAGAAAATTAAAACGAACCACCAACCCACTGTTCGTATTTTGGCGCATTTTATTTTGGAAATTTGTTAATACTGGAATAAAATGTATGAGGCACTTAGTGTCCTAAAAACAAGAGATATTCTAAATGTGCTCTACACGTGGGAGCCACTGTTTCCATTATGAGATTGAAAAAAGAACCTAGGTTTGCCCAGGACAGCTTCTTGGACAGGACGGGCAGGCCTTCAAGCCAACTGTGGGAACACGGGCCAGAGGTCAGAGTCCCTGTGGTCTGTGGGGTGGCGGGTGGCTCAGCAGGAAGTGGGTTGGAGTCAGTGGAGTGGGGACAAGTAATGAGGCTGTAACGGGCTGGCCTTGTGCTCTCCGGGGTACTAGGGAGCCATTGTACATTCTTGAGCAGGGAATGACTTAACAAAGGCCACGCATGCAATGGGAGACAGGGACAGGGTGGATTGGGGAGGGGAGAGTGGGAAGGCAGAGGGAAGAGGCATGGATACACAAATGGGGTACAGCCCAGGGCCCCCCCAGCCCCCTGCAACCTGAGTTGTGTTGTGGCAGAGACGGGTCTACTTCTGAGCCGCCAGGATGGAGAGGGACTGATTGATCTTCACCATGGCGATGAGGAGGAGGCCGCCGGTCAGCAGGAAGGTGGGCCAGAAGAGAGAGAAGAGGAGGGTCTGGGGCCCGTAGAGGCGCCGGTACAGGACCCGGGTCTCATTCTCCCGCGTGGTCGAGAAGCAGTAGAAAACTTGGTGCTCGTGGAAGTTGTCTCTGACTTTCTCCACGTCGGCCCGGGCCATCTGGTAGTTGTCCAGGCTGCCGGGGATGTAGGAGCACTGTGGGGAGAAGCGAGCGCACCCCTGGGGCTGAAGTCCCTGTGTCTTCGGACCTAGAGCTGAGTGGCTGGCCAGGAGTAGACGCCAGCTTCGGGGTCCGGCCCCTGGGGGAGTCAGAATGTCTATAGTTGGCGGGCTCCGTTCCAGGGGGTGATTCACGGGGTCACTTGTGAGCATGGTGGCCCCTGGAGCTGCTCAGGGTCCATGCTGCACACCTGCAGGCTGGGGCCCAGCTGGAGTCCTGGCTCTGCTTTGATTGCTGTAGATCTTTAGACAAATCATTTACCCTTTCTGAGCCTTGACAGCATCATCTCTTAAATGGCAAAAAGCAATATCTTTGTCAAAGGATGTTATTAAAGAAGGACTTCAAGCTTAACTAAGGAGACCAAAGACAGTGAGTGACACAGGCCCGGTGGGCTCTGTATTTGGATCCAGAGCCGAGGTCACATGCTCAGTTGCCTGCAGGGCTCATGCAGGGAATGCCCGTGAGTGATGTGGGTGAGGGAGTAAGATGACAGGTGTCAACTTGCCTTCGTGCCTGAGAGAGCTGGCAGGGTGTGGTGGGGCCGAGTGAAAGGGAGACAGTCAGACGCATCCAGACCGGCAGTTATCCCTCCATCTGGACCACGGACACCGTAGGCTCCAGAGACCTATGGTGGCCAGGTCTTTGACATCTCACGAGAAGCCAGAAAACCCGATCTTAATGTGAATTGTCACATTTTTTAAATATTGGCAAAAATTCAGATCGAAAACCCTTTGTGGTCTAACCCTGTGTGAGCCAAAGCAAAGATGCTGGCAGCCAACATTAGACGCTGGGATTCAGAGGGAAGAGAGGGTGCATCTGGAGGAGCTATGCACACGGCATGGTACACATTTCGTTCTGACACCGAGTGTTGTCTTAGGAACCTCTGGCCTGGTCAGATGAGGTCCAGCTGGAGCACTCTGCAGGGAGGCCCAAGCAGAGACCCTGGCTCTCGCTCTGTTCTGTGCCGGGAGGTCTGCACGTTGTTTATGTGAGCCTGTGGGAGATGTTCTGCTAGTACGGTCCCCGCCCCCAGCCCTTCCTGCAGACCACCTGGAGGGCTGGCTCTCTGAATCATCCAGGGTGGGGCCCAGCAATCAGGTGCTTCCTGCATATTCAAAAGGTTAAGTGCGATTCTGTCCAAGATCAAAATGTGTAAACTACTGAGCCAGCTTCTCCCCAGGCCTCAGTTACTCCCTGGATTTGAATGAGGCCCCGCCCCCACAGCTGACTGCCCTGACAGTGCTCAGTCCAGCAGAACGTGGGGTGGTTGCATCATAGTTCTGACAGCCTGGGAGGTGGGAGAGCTGCATCCAGAAGTAGGCCACCGGCCAGCCAGCCAGCTGGCCAGGGAGCAGCTGAGGCTGGGGAGAAGCTGGCTTCTGAGGAATCTGGCATTCAGAGTCATTGGGCACTGCAGGGACCCTGTAGCAGGTAGATTCAGAATCCCAAGCTGAGAGGGCCTAGCCCAAGTCTCCCTAGTGCTACTGACTGTGACCTTGGGTAACCTAGCTCACTGAGAACGATGAGGCTATGGAGCCAGGCCCGCCTGGGTTCGACTACCAATTCCAAATTGTGTGACCTTGGCAAGTGCCATAACTCCTCTGAGTCTTGTGAAATGGGTCTGTGAGGGTGCCTGCATGCTCACTGGTGTGACAGGGATGTTAAATTGTCACGGGGATTAAGAGAGATGATGTATATGAACACTTTGCACGAAGCTGAGCACATAGTAAGTGCTGAATAAATGGGAGATGCTGTTAATAATAATAATAACAACAATAATAATAATGTGACTATGATATTGCAACAAGAGCTCCTTCTTAAAGAGGGGCCTTTCACACGACCGACAGCCAGCTAGCCTGCAACATGGGCTCCCTGCACCCCAGAGCTGAACAGAGTAGGGACAGCTGGCCCATTGACCCAGCTGAGTGGCAAAACCATGAAGGTACTTCTGCTGCCTACCCACACTGCAGCCCGCCGTTAGCAACTGCTCCTGGTGGTGCCTGGGCACAGTGGGAGAGACGACAGAAGGTAGCAGTCAGCCAGCGAGGTCCTTCCAGGGTGCGACACGCTGCTGATGGCTCACCTCGGGGGACAGTCTGGCCTCCTGTTCCTCTGAGCTGGCACCTGTAGCATCAGGACCTGCAAGCCAGCCTGCTCCCCATCCCTGTCACACCAGTGATCATGTCTGTCTGTCCTTGGAAATGTGCTTCTTGTCCGTGGGGTAAGTCAGGGCCACTGAATGCCAGGGAGAGGCAGGAGTAAAACCTTCCCTTGGAAACGGTGGACTCGGGTGGGAGCCACTCACAACCCACACTCCCTGGGAAAACCAGCCTGTGAGCGTTACTGGGAGTGAATTGTTCCGTCTGATGCAAATGCACAGGAATTCCATCTGTTGTGAGCCCAGGTTGATGCGAGACCAGTCCTTGAGGAATCGAAGTTTCTTTCAAGACTACTCATCGGGTTGGGACGTGAACACAGAGCCCGACTGCCTTGGCATCTGCTCTCCGGGCGGGATTAACCTCCACCCGTCACGTGGGACCAGTGTGTGTTTTCATAAAGTGGTGATTGGAGAAAGCCCAGCCCTCCCCCAACTCCCTTCCAAACCCTGGGCTGTGCTCCTGCCCGGATCCCACGTTCCTCCTCTTTCCCACCGTGTGGGACTTCCGGTCTCTCTGGGACATCTTCCAAGATGGTCTTTGTAGTGAGACAATTTCCGTAAAGTGTCTGTCTGTACTTTTTTAAAATATGGGAACTAATATGTACAACGTGTGACTTTCTTCATTAAAGTGTTGCCTCTCTCAACAAACCAACCACACACACACACACACACACACACACACACACACACATCATTTTCATTCCACACCAGGTAGAGGGGTCTCCTGGGAACACACCTTCGTTTACCTCGGCGGCCTGTCCCAACTGCACTCCACGGTGTGCCAGTGTCGGTACAGGTCCCGGGACCCCTGTGTGCCCAGCCCTCCCTTCCAGCCGTGTTCTGTGCCCTGCCCTTGGTATGTATGCCCCTCCATGTTTCTGTGGACCCAACCTGTCTGACATCTCAACAGCCAAACCCAAACGCCTGATCTCAGCGGCCTCACTGTTGGCCGAGAAGCGTCCCTTTCACCCCACACTTCCCCCCATCCCTGTCCATGGCACTGCGCCCTCCCCACTGCGTACTATTTCCTGTGTGGGGCTTCTCCTCTTGAGTCCAGAGCCCTAACACAGGAGTGTGCAATGACTGTTGAATGAATGAATGAATGAATGAATGAGCGAATGAATGTGGGCCAACTCGTCTTTCCTGTAGGAAGGGCTACGATGGTGGATTTGGGGGTCAAAGGAACGTTGGGAAATGGTGATGAGAAAATATCCCAAGTGTTGCCTTTCTCCAGCCCTGAACCCCTGGTTTCTTGGGGTGAAGGATTTAGGGGTTTCCCTTGATGGGTCACCTCTGGGCCTGGCCTCTCCTCTGACTCACTTAGAGAACAAGGTCATAACACCAGTGACCACGTCTTTTTGCACGCGTGCTGTCCGCCCAGCGTGGAGCTTGGCACACTGTATGCAGACTCTGACTTCGTAAGAGCACTTCAGCAGAGCTGGAAACTGAGGCACAGAGGGGCTAATTCAGCCACCCCGGGTCACACAGCCAGTGACTGGGATTCAAACAGAGGTCTGTGTGACTCCAGCACAGCAGAGCTAGGTCTGGCTGGACCTCACGCCCGCTCTGGTCCCTGGTCGAGAGGGTTCACCTTTCTCAGCCTGTGATTTTCAGAGAAGAGCTAGGGAGCCCGTTAGGGACAGACCACACCCCTGCCCGTCAATACCTGCTGGTTCTGGTCCCAAGTGTCCTCCGTGTGGTACAGCACGGCCCAGCGGCCCACAGCAGATACGTTGACCCACAGGCACGGGTACTGAGCCACCTTCTTGCCCTCCAACTCCTCCTGGTCCCTGATGTTGGTCTCAATCAGTTGGCACATGGATTCCTGGGTCCACACACTGGAGAGGTCACCCACATACACACACATTCTAGAACCTGGGTGGCACAGAGCACCCTGTTTAAACCCCTTAGAGAGACCCAGGGCTGAGACCATCACACCATGAGCATCTAACACTAAAGGACAGTGACCCCAGAGTCCCGGGCCCACAGGAGGAAGCGTAGACTCAGAATGTCAATGCCAATGGCCTCTTGAACATCATCTACCCAATGGTTCTCAAAACCCTGGGGAACTTTTAAAAAGATTCCCACACCCAAGCCACGCCCAGAACAAGTAAATCAGAATTTCTAGGGCGGATGAGGCCCGGGGCCCAGTGTGCTGTACAAAGATCTGCCATGGTTGACAGAGAGCCCGTCCCGAGACCCCTGTCTCCACATCATCGTCATCTTGCAGGGAGTGGGAGAGAAGCTCAGAGAGGTCAAGTGACTTTCCCAAGGCCACACAGGACCTGAAGTCAGGTCTGGGTGGCTTAGAATCTGTGCCTTCTCCCCTAAAACGCATAGATGAAGGAGGGTTTGATTTGTGCCTGGGGTGGGGGGGCGGGGGATGGTGCAGATGGTGCTTAATGTGGAGGTGGCGTCGGAGGCACACGGCTGCTCCGAGCGGAGCCTCAGGTCAGAGTCCAGCCTGGAGTCACTCCCTCGCTGCAAAAGGAAGGAGCAGCCCGGAGAGGCCAACAGACTCGTCAACACTTGAGCAGCAAATCCATGGTGACTCATCTCCCATGTATAAGGCGAGGGGCTGGCAGTAACTGGATGTGCCCCGAGGCAAGGGTCTGAGACTTATCCTAAGAACAGCTGAGAGAACTGCTCTGTGCATTTGTTCAGAATAGAGCAGGAATCTGGAACTTCTCGGCCTTACTCTTTAAACGCTGGAGTGGTTGATAGGTCGGGGAGCAAGGGCACAGAACATTCTCTGAGATTCCAGAGCAGAGCTCCACGGGAGCGCATTTTGGCTCAGTGTACACACTTCCTACTTATCAGAAAGTAGGTATACACAGTGAGGTAGTGAGCTCCCTGTCACTTGAGATATTCAACAGGAGGCCAGATGACCAGAGACCAGGGGGTTTCAGAGAGGAACCTGAAAAGATCAGCTACAAAGTTCTTGACTGATTCCTCCTGGAATCAAACTCACACTGGAGCGTTTGTTCCGCCCCCTTGGTGTTTCCTTTGGTGAGGGCCTCCTGTGTCTGTGACCTACGAGTCCCAGAATTCCACACCGGCAGGGCCCGGTCCTACCCTCCCTGCACTTGAATCCTTGACCCTAAGACTGAGGATCATCCAGTCCTTTCTGCCTGGTGTGAGGGTCAAGAGGAAGGTGGGGAGAGGTCAGAGGTTCCGCACAGCCCAGAACCTGAGGGGAGAGGCTGGAGAAGGGGGGCAGGCCAGGAGGGTTCGATACCTTTTCTGGTAGAGGGGCAGCACCGTCGTGCCCAGGATATAGTAGGCGATGGCAGCACACACCACCATGGCCACGCCCAGGCAAAGGGCTCGCGTCTCTCCCCGCTTCTGGGCCATCACCAGCTTCTTCCCCATGTCCACTGGAGACAGCAGTCATTTCTAGGGCCACAGGGACACACAGACGTGAGATCCGTGGACGAGAAGACAGGTGAGGGGGAGGATGCTCAAATATTAACATCACCCCTATTTTTACATGGAGCTTTGCAGCTTCAGAGGGCTTTGGGGCCCCTTGGAAGCCCCCCACCAGCTCTGAGAGGTGAGCATCACCACCATTCTACAGATGAGGGACCCGTGGCTCAGAGAGGCAAAGCAACTTGCCCAAGGTCATGGTGTGTCATAGGCTCAATAATGGCCCCCAAGATGCCCATGTTCTCAGCCCTGGACCTGTGACTGCTACGTGACATGGCAAAGACTTTAAAATGAAGGATTTTGAGATGAGGAGGTCATCCTGAATCATCCAGTAGACCCTACACGTCCTTACAGGAAGGAGGCAAACGGAGAGGAGACACGGAAGAGGAGAAGGTGACAGGACCAGGGAGGCAGAGACGGCAGTGAGGCCACCACGTGCCGGGGATGGCGGGCAGCCGCCAGAAGCCAGAGGAAGCGAGGAGCATGGGCCATCCCCCCGCCTCTGCCGTGATGTCACAGCCCTGCCAACATCTTGCAGATTTGGGGCTTCTGGCCTCCAGAACCGTGTGCCAGCAGACACCTGTTGTTCGTGGTCCTTCGTGCAGCAGCCACAGGACACTGACACAGGATTTAACCTGATTCAGCGAGCAGTTTCTCTCCGACACGTGACACCTGTGGCTTTGCACAGTCCTGCCCGCCAGCTCCAGGCGGGCGCTGGGCCAGGGCAGAGAGCCCAGCAGGCAGCCACAGGCCGGGGCTCTGGTTTCCGCAGTCAGGGTCCTGAGAGGGCCACCTCCCTCTTCGATGAGGCGGCCCAGGAGCTGCTCTCTTACGGAGGGTGGGGTGGGGATGAGTGCCGAGGACAAAGCAGAGGAGCAGGGAGCAGGAGCCCACAGCTTCTCTCTGTCCTCCTCCTCCGGGGAGCGGCACCCTGAATTTCCTTCGGGGAGTCTACCCCACTGCAAGCAGAGTCCCCCCCTCCCAGGGCCACTGAACACCCTCCAGGGTGTGAGTCATCACCTGGAAGTCACCTGGAGTCACACGCTGCTGGTCTCTGGCTCGTGTGTGGGTTCCCCACAAGTGCCTTCGGGTGCATCTCTTTGTTTTTTGTTTGTATAAGGTAACCATGGTTTTGTTTCTACCAAAAACACCAGGGCCCATGGGGTCCTTTCTCTGTCATCCCCTGCTTTAGGGAACATTTTAGCCAGATATCAGGAAGAACTGTATCTTCCCTGCCAGGTCCCTACAGTAATAAAGACTTTTTTAAAAAAATAAATTAGTGAGTATCTAGGAGAGAGGCATTGATCCAAAGGGATTTTCAGCAAAGTGCTTTATTTTCTACTTCGGCTTCCTTCCAAGTGTGCACTGTTGGAGTGCCCCCAGAGATTCTGCCCCCCCTCACTCCCACCCCTTCTACCTCCCCCCCCCCCCCCGCCATCCTACAGAGGGGAGTCCAGGTCAGGCACCAAGGATGTAACCCTGTCACTGCCTCCAAGATGACTGACAAGGATGACACCCAATGACAAGTTTGCCCCTCTCATTTGGGGTGCTGAAAAGTGGGGTTCCCCTACCTTCTAACAGGCGGTACAGTGTCACAAGGGAGTGAATTTTCCTGGGCTGCAGCCGCTGGCTGCTCCGGCAGCTGAGAGCGGAGGGCCAGGGCTCTGAGTTCAGAGAGTGGCCGGGCCACAGAGCCCCCGCCTCCCAGATGCCAGCGGGTCGGGTCTCCAGTGGCACCAATGTCAGTGCCTCTGGAGCCCAGAGTCCTGGGCACAGCCCCTCGGGGAAGGAGCGCCCACCGTGGGCTCCCTCTGAAGCTCCCCCCTCTCCCCTCCAGCCCCAGGTTTGGAGGAAACGTCCCAAGTGCTCTGGGCACAGTACTCACAGTCTCCCCGGCGCCCTGGTCTCCAGCAGGCAGACACTTTCTATCTGCCTGGCCCCCAGCCCCCACCCCAGCAGAGGCCGCCTGAGCTCCAGCAGGGAGCTTGGGCTCCCAGCCCGGCCCTGTTTCCAGGGAAGCAGCCTTTGGTCCCCATCTGGGATAAGCCTCCATGCCCAAACATGGTCAAGTCTGAGCACACAGCCCAGGACACAGGCTCGAGGGCAGGTACCCAGCCAGGAGGTGGACGGAGGGTGGCAGCAGCTACCCAGGCCCCTGCACCTGCATCTCCCAGAGTCTCCTGGGAAACAGGTTCCAAACCGCAACACAGAGCAAACTGGAAGCTGGCTAAGACCACCCTGATGTATCTGGGAACAGCCCTTCCCTCCTCCCTCGGACTGGCAGAGACGGCAGGAATGGGAAACGGTTTTCCTCTGTTGACTTAGGGGGGGAGGAGGAGTTGGAGCTAGCGGGAGGCTTGTCCGCCGCTGTGGAGCTGGCATATCCCAGCGGCCAGACCACGTGCGCGCTGTGTGGCCCTGGGCAAGTCACGGCACCTCCCTGAGCCCCAGTTTTCTATCCATGCCATCGGAATTTTTAAAACCTACTTTGTTCAGAGATGAGGATTAGAGACGGTGGAGATTTGGGCAGGGAAAAGAAACATATATTTTAAAGACCAGCCAGGTGGAAGCAGGGAGCGGTCGTGGCTCCTCAGATCCAGCCAGCCAGGTGCTGGGACAGCCTGCGCCGTCGGGGGCCTTGCGGAGACTGTCAAAGTTCGGAGTCACGCCCGAGATGTCAGCATGGGCGGGCACAAGCAGGCCTCCAGGTCCTCGTTTCCTCACCTGGAGAGTGGAGCTCTGAGGACAATCAGTGAGAAGCGAGCCGATGCCGTGGGCCTCTCCTTGCCGTCGGGCATCACGCCGCGGCCCCCACTTGACCCCACAGCGAGGTCGAGAGGCTGAATCGGAGCCTCGGGGCCGGAATGACGAGGGCCAGAGCCAGAGCCAGATTCAGAGCCGGCCCTCCCAAGGGCAAAGCCAGGCTGTCTCTGCCGAGCCCGGCCCTGCCCCGAGAAGCAAAAGCTCACCTCTGTTATATAGTCACCTGCCACCTGAGGTTCTGGGCTCCCCCTGAGTGAGCCTGGCTCCCAGGGAGGGGGCTGCAGCCCAGCGTGCCTGCCGAATGAGCCCCGCCCCCCCCAGCCCTCCTGCCTTGGCCACTGGGAGGCAGCCAGCCCAGAGGGCCCCAGAGTGACACTCTCTGGCCGGAAGTCCCCACCCCCACCCTTTACTGAATGAATCACACTAACGGGAGCATGAATTGTCTGTTTACTGGGCACCAGAGCAGAGGAGGTCTCTTAAGGCCTTAGGTCTCTCAGGTGGGTTGGCAATGCGGGACGCAGGGCCGGGCATGAGCCCCAGAGGAGTGGTTTCCAGGGATGTCTCGGGGCTAGAGTGTCCTCCCAGGCGGCGCTCATCTTCCTCCTGCTCTTGGGGCAGATGCCAGGGCAGCAGGAGGCCCTTTGAAAATTAATGTACTTACTGTTTTTCATCACCACTGTCCCCTCTATGCCCTCTTCCAACTCCACCCCCTTCCCCCCCCCCCCACCATCCCCGCACCGTTGTCCATGTCAGAGGCCACTTTTAAGTACGACCAACGGGCTGCTTGCTCATCATCATGCTGCTTGCATGGGTTATGAAGGGGCACACGTTGAGAATCTATGAGCAAACAGCAGCCTCCTTCCCAAGGTACTTTTCCTCTTGGAAAATGGGACAGGCAGGGGAGGGGGAGGGGAGGTGGGCCCCTTGGAGCCTCAGCTCAGAGCTCCGACAGCCCTGCTCTGAGGGTTTGTGGGGGGAAACCCAGGTCCCCAGCTGCCTCTGGGGCTGTGTGTGGCGGGCGGGTGGAGGTGGAGGGCAGGGACGAATGATGCTGCAGTAACAAAGATTGGTGCTTTGCATGAACACAGGGTGTTGAGTTCACAAAACACCTTCCCCGACGTCAGTCTTCCGGGGACCCCATACAAGCAGGAGTGCTGCAGGCTCACCCGGATCCATTCAGGAAGAGATGTTTTATAGAGGGGGTCACTGAGGTTCAGAGAGGTGAACGAAATTGCCCCAGGCACGTTCCCGTGCCTCTCTGAGCCTTGGTGTGTCCATCTCTGGAAAGGAGATCATTACCCCCCGACCCTCGGCGTTTCCCAAAGAACAAGAGGTCACATAGGGCGGCAGACGGTGTTTTCCAAAGATGGCCACACCAACACCACCTCGTTCCACAGGCTTCTCTCTCAGTGAGACAGCAACACTCCTGCGCCAAGGGCGGGCACCTGTGTCCCTGTCCCTGCAGCCGGGACCGAGCTTTGTCACCGCCGTGCAGACAGGAGGAGGTGAACGTGGCACAATGCTTTCCAAGGCTAAGTGAGTGGGGGTACAGCTCCCCTGGGCGTGCTTTCCCGGGACACTTCCCACGGAGCCAGCCTCTCCTGTGAAGAAGCCAAGAGGCTAACGGGGGTGTTCCAGCCACTGGTCCCAGCTCAGGGACCGCCCACGGCCTGCATCTCCCGCAGGACGTGTGAGGGAGGGGGCCTGCGGAGTTGCAGCCTCCAGCCTTCCGTCCCCCTCCACGGCCTCAGACATCAGGGAGCAGAGACTGCCCCCCCCCCCCGCTCTCTCCCAGTGTGCGCACACGTACGCCTGCACACACACACGCACATGCACACACGCACACGCACACCCGTTCTTCTGGGCAGTCCTCACGAGAGGCCGCCTTGTTTCTACTGTTTGCCCAGGCTCACTCCCCTGGCATGTGATGTGACGGAGCCCAGATGTGAACCTGACTTGCTGGCTCCACTGCCCGTGCCCATGCCCCTGACTCCGGCACCGCGGTTCCCGAGGACCCGCGCTCCCTGTGACACCTGCTTTCGCTGCTCGACACGCCTCCTCTGCGCGGTCCACAGCCCGTTCTGGAGCCTGCACCCACTTACTTATTTAAAGCCTCTTGAATCAATATCTATTCTCCACCGCCACTTGGGATAATAAGTTCCATAAATCAAGTTGGCAACTGTGTCCCGGGCCCTGCTGAGGGTGCTCACGGGCTGAGAGCCACGGGGCGCGGGTGCGAGTGGCCCGCCGTCATTCGCGAACGGGAGGGCCTCCGGCGAGGCCCTGAACCGCACTGCGGCGGTGGGTGGGCCAGGGGCAGGGAGGATGGATTTTTTTAAACTGCAAAAAAGACACAACGGAAAACAATGAAAAGAAATATTTAAGGGAGAGAGAGGAATGAAGGGCAGAGGAAATCACCGTGAAAGAGTGCAGAGCTGAGAAGACAAAGTGTAAAAACGGGACTATTAGATGTCAGTAGGTGGGTTCATGGCAAGACGGGGCTGGACGAGGAACATGACAAGCTGGCCCCTGTAATAAAGGGACACCGTGCTCCTTCCCCTGCGCAGAGTGGAGCCGTATTTCCCCTCCCTCATCTTCCTCCCTCAGTGACAGGGTGTTTTAGCTACATCGCGAACATAATTGGAAGCGGCTTGAAATTCTCCTTGAAACAAGGAGGGACATAAATAAATGAAGAGCGCCGCCGTCCACCGGTGGGGTAAGGTCGATTCGGCAGCCCTTTCCTCCTGCAGACTCCACGCTCGCCGTGGAGAGGCTGGGCTATAGCGACGTGCGGCATCAGAATAAGGCACCAAGAGGAGGCCACCCCTCGGGGGCATTGCTGGGAGGGGAGGCGTGAGGTCCTTCCCGACGTTCATGAAAGGGTGCAGCTTCTCTCCCTCAAGCGAACACCCATGGGTCCCCATCTGTGAGCCCCCCCTTCTGAGGAACTCGGTCCTGGGGTCCTCGCCTCACCTCCTGTCCCCTTAGACACCCTCCCTGCCTCCTCTGCCCGCTCAGTGCCCTGATGTGACATGCTCAGGGCACAGCGTGCGGCCCCTCTGAGCAATCCCTCCCTCTGCGGTGTCACATGTACGTCATTCACAGGGCTCCCCGCTGGACGGCGAGCTCCCCGACATCTGGGGCAAGAACTGTGCAATGTGGGGCAGCACTAGGAATAAACAGAGACTCTTGGGTTTTACTGTTGTCTGTTGTTTGGTTTGGAAAAACATCTCTTGCTTTAAAAAAATTTTTTTTTTTTTTTTACCACCTGAACCATTTTTAAGTGTACAGTTCAGTCGATTCATGTTATGGCTCCACCGTTCTCTAGAACTTTTTCATACAGCAAAACGGAAGCTCTTCACCCACTAAACAACTCCCCGTTCCCCCCTCCTGCCAGCCCCTGGCAACCGCCCCTCTGTTTCCTGTTTCTATGAGTCTATTTTAGAGACCTCCTAGAAATGGAATCAAACAGCATTTGTCCTTTGTGTCTGGCTTATTTCTCTTGGCATAATGTCCTCAAGGTTCACTGATGCTGCGGCGTGCAACCAGCCCGAAATCTCTCGCTTTCTCACGTACCAGAATAGTGTGATCATTTTCCCATCCCGTAGAACATTGTCACAAAGGCTGTGCAGTAGTCCATTGTATGGCTAAACCGACCGTATTTAATCAAAGCTATGTGGTTGGCTGGTTAGATGGAGCTTGTCTGCTTGTTGAGTGGAACTCAGAGTTGCCCTCTGCTGGTCAGAGGGCCAGTTCCACCCCCACCCTCACCTCACTTACACCTCGTATCGTTTTTCATGAACCGAGAGGCATGAGGGAGATTGGATCTAAAAGGATGCAATTTGGGGACCAGACCCTGTAGATAGAAATGAGACAGCCATAGAAGTAGAAGTTAGCAGGTTTCATGTTTAGCCTTGACCAGCCTGATTTGAGCTTGAGAAAGAGAGAGACGCAGACAGACGCAGACAGTGGTAGACGGAGGCTGAGGAAACTCCTTTACGGGATAGCTCGTGGGGCTCAGAACACCAGCAGTGCCACTTTGGGGCCCAGAGTGGTTCTCCCCACTTCTGCCTAACCTGGCTCTGGGGTGATGAGAACCGAGGGCTCACAGTGAGGCTGTGGGGCTGGGCAGTGCCCCCCTGGAACGGGAGTCTGCATCCTCACGTTACACCTGCAGCAGAGACAGCAGCCCGGCACCCCTGTGCCAGTCGGGGTGTCCCAGCAAAAGCAGGGTCTGGGTGTGCTGGAGCTGGCCCGTAC